ATGTTTTTATTTTTGGTGGAGTTGGAGTTTGCACTCAGGATTCCATCCTTTGTTGGCATACTGTCTTTGGTGTTGTTCTACCACTTGAAACATCCCTGTAGCTTGATTTACTAGTAATTTTGGAGATGGAGTGTCATGTACATTTCTGCAGGGGCAGGCTTCAAACTGCAGTCCTCTAGATCTCAACCTTCTGAGTAGTTAGTAATGCTGGCAGGTGCCACTGGACCCAAGCTCCATGTTAGGATTTTCATAATTGCATACACTATACAGTATTTAAATCAGGTAACTATATACATTTCTTGGAACATGCAGTATGTCATATATCATATATCATTTATCTATTGTAAAACCCTTCAAAACCCTTCTTTGCCTCATGACATGAAGAGAAGAGTGGGAATACTCATAGGGAATAAGGTAGATAATCTACAATAGAGCCACCAAATGTGTAGAAGATTTTCTTCTGTCAATCTTAAACTAAATTGTAATTGTTTAGAGTTCAGAGCTCTGTGAATTACAAACTCTATTTGATGAATGAACTCAAAAAGTTACTGTTTAGGTTTGTCCTGGAAAAAGAGTTCATTCATCATAAAGTATTTGCAAGTTCTCAAGATAAAAAACACAAAGGGGTCCTAACCCTCATTTTAGTCAATGGATACTGCCATGATGAAACTCTTATTTGTTTTGAAATCAGTGATTCACATGAATATTGAAAAACATTACTAACAGAGAACTTTTAATTTCTTGTACCTGCAGGTTTTAAGTATGGAGCGGCTTATGAGACTTGGTGTGTATGGGTTATATCTTTAGCCTTGCAGTGGCATATCCTTGTCCAAAAATGAACCTGACACCTGCATTATAATGAGGAAATGATTTTTCTTTAGCCAAAGGTAGATTGAATGTAGCATTTAAGTTTCTGTATGTATCATTTGTGTGTGTGCGTGTGTGTTTGTGTGTGTGTGTGTGTGTGTGTGTGTGTGTGTGTGTATGAGTGTGCTGATGGGCAGGGTCTGGGTAGTAACACTGAGCTTTTTTGTTCAAGACTAGCACTATACCACTTGAGCCATGGCTTCACTTGTGGCTTTTTTGGTGGAAGATAAGCTTCCAAACTACCAAGGATAACTAAGGGTCCAAACCAGGCCCAGGGCCACCTGCACTTCTCCCCTTCTCTTCCCATAAGAAAGCCCAAAGTATAAAGTTGGAACCATGACACACTAAAGAAGGATCCCCCTACAAATGAGTAGCAATACTTATCAAAACAGAGCAAGACAAGATCAAGACAGAAACAGAAAAACTGAAGTCTGCTCCTTAGGCATGTGCAGAGATGTACCACCCCAGCAGTACACCAGACTTCATATAGTATGAGAGCCAGATGAGCAGGCCCTGAATTTAAACTTTAGTACTGTGAAAAATGAAGGGAAAAAATGACATGGTCAAAGTATATTGTACACATGTAGGAAGCACCTCAAATTGTACAATTGATGTACGCCAATAAATGTACTAGAACAGGTGATTAGTAATATAAAAACATAAACTCATATCTGGCTTTCAGTTGGAAACATCTATTGACAACAATATTTACAGTTTTTAGTTTGCATCACACTAATGCTGAAGAAAAGACACGAACCCTAGTTTTAATGTTTATTGCTGTCTATGTCTGTGTCACAGAGTATTTTCCTCCAGGAGGAGCTGCTTCTGTACATTGCTTTTGTTCACTGAATCCACATCTCCAGATATGACAGGTGACATAGCCAAGGAGTTTTCCTACCATCTTCCCCTTCCCATTCCCAGTGATTGCCGTAATGTGAACAACATGGCACTCTATTTTGTTTCATTGCTTCACTGAATTTTAAACAAAGAAAGAGAGTCCAAGAACGACTCATGCATGAAAAATAATATTTATTATGAATAATATAGAGAGAAAGGGTCTGAGTTGTCAGAGGGTAATCATTTTTTTGTTTTGTCATACGAGCATATTAGGAAATCAGCATTAGAGAAGTGTTAGCATGTGGGGTGTTGACTAAGACTATTATAAAGCACAGGGGACTATAGATGTGACAGCGCAGTAACACAGGGAACCATCCAAAATGGAGAATGGATCTTCCAAGATCTGGAGGGAGAAGGGAGATGTGAGAAGGGAGGACAGGAAAGCCTTCCTGGCAGGGGAAGTTGGTGAGTGATGGCTCAGAGGAGCGAACTGCAGATAGCTGCACAGCTGGAGCCAGACAGCAGAGCTCTTCTTTACACTGGAATGAACAGCAGCTGGTATGATGGTGGCAAGCAGATAAACCCATTTAGAACAGGAGTGGTATTGAGGTCCTGTGGATCCATGAGAGATTTCAGCTTGAAATTCTGTAGAATGGTTGTCAGAAATAAAAACAGCTCCATGCTGGACAGGCCTTCTCCAACACAAATCCTTTTGCCTGAAATTTTTGTAAAAAAAAAATTCAAAGGAAGAAATGACTCTTTGTATGTAAGTGTGAAAGTATGAAGCATTGTATTTGTAACTGACAAAAGATGTGTCAATA